GTTGTTTGACTCTTTTAGAATATTTTGCTGAGTTTACACACATATAATATTCAAATAATGGAACTTAACAAAAAAAGGGATACAGATGAATGTCCATTTTGTATCTGTGTATTCAAAGTGGTTAGGATAGATATATAGTTATATTCTCTTAATGAATAGAGGGATTTGTTCTAATGGTGTTTGTAAATAAGATATCATGTCCACATCTTGTACAGCAATTAACTACTAGGAAGAATGTACCCAATGTGTTAATTATTGAAACTGTCCAACCAATTTGGTTTGAAACTGTCTCATTGCTATTTGTTTCTCAATAAAATTATGGGGAAAAAAAAAAAAGAAGCATAGTAACAATGGGACCTCAGTCACACTCCTCACAGAGAGTGACTCATTTCTTACCATGCACTTGCCAAGCTCTTCCTCTTTCATTGCAGGTAGCCTTAGGTTCTGCCCCAGCCCCAGGTGTCCCAACTAGTACCACTTTGCAGACAGTGATGAGAGAGTCATACCTTGTGTCCTGGTTTCCGCCCTCTTCTCTTTGGGATCTTCACTGCTGGCAGAGAGGCAGGAGCAGAGAAAAGGCTGTGAACTGGCATCTTCCTAGGCGTGGAGTGGAGGGGCGGCCGCCCTCGCTTCCTCCCTGTGACCCCCTGGGCCTGCATCTCGGCGGGTGCCAGTCTTACAGAGTGTGGTGGCAGAGTGCTTATGGGCAGAGGAGGTGCTAAGAACAAGTACAGACAGAAAAGAACACAAAAACAGAATTGTTTGTTTCCTGTTCAAGGCCAAACGGATCTGCTTTGGTGACCCGGGAGTTATGGACCATCTGCTCTAGGGAAAGGTCAACCAGGGGAGAGCCGGGTACCACTAGGAGTGTTGGCCTTGGCTCCTGGTGTCATTTCAAGGACAGTAACTTTTGGCAGAAGTGGAGGGGACTGAAGGAGGAGGGGAAAGATACTGACTGGGCAGAGAAGGCAATAGATTCCTGGTTCCAAATGACTGATGTCACCCATAAGAAGATGACAGAACAACTTTGTGTCTCAGTATCTTTGTTCAACTTTGGACTATTTTGATAATTGTATTTGATAAATAGTCATTCTTCATTTTCACACCTTTCCCTTTGGTTGGATTATAAATTGTAACCTCTTTTCCTTTGAAAGAAATTAACAGCATAAATCAAATGTATTTAAACTTGATGATGTCCTTTGATCGAAGTGCAGGCAGAGATTTATAGAGAGAGCTGCTCATTTTAATGTTAGAATTGGAAAAATAAAGTGGATACAACCCAAATAACAGGTGATAAGGGAATTGGTAATATATCAAAAGAATCTTAAAAAATCAACTGGTTAAAAGCTGTTGGAAACACTCTTAGTATAACATGATGTTGAGTGAAAGAAGCATTTCAGATTGTGCATAAGAATGATCTCAACTATTTGAAATGTATAGGTTAAAAAAGTAGACACATGCTAAAATGTTACCCAGTCAAAGAGAGTAGGACTCATTTACTGTATGCAATCCTGTGTACAGATCCCTCACCCGCTATAACAATCTTAGCATAGCACTGACAATATTTCTTAAGCAGAGATGCCTAAATGTTGAAGTGATGGAGCAGCTAATCAACCCTAACCCAGAGAACATAGTGCTATCATGAACTCAGGGGTCAGATTTTCTGGAATGTTCTTGAATATGATGAGTGAGGCAGAACTTTGGACTTTAATTCTGGGGTGAGGTGAGGTGATTAAAGTCATTTGTAAGGATTACTGAAACCTTCTAGTGATTTTTTGCTCAGAAGGCTGCAGGAAGGTTTGGGAAAGATGACGGGAGCAGTGCACACACCCTGGCCTGGGCAACGAGGCAGGGACAGATGGCCTTGCCTTGGGAAGAAAATATTAAATAGTGGGAATTCCTAAAAAGATGATAGGGAAATTTGGAGTGTCACAAATTTCAAGTTACTAATTCACAGCATTAGCTCTGAGTAGCAACAGTATTCTATTGCTTGTTCTTGGAAATATGTATAGCAATCAGAATTTTATTTATTTATCTTTCTTTCTTGTCTCTTTTTTTCATTTATCACCTTTTTTTAAAACAAACACTTACTTGAGAGATAGTATGGTAATAATTGGTAATAAAGCAGTACATATTTAGAAGACCAGAATGACAGGTATTCCAAGTGTGACCCTTCTATTACACATTGCTATCTTCAGTGCAGTTGCTTAGTTCACAGGTATCAGCATATATACTTAGTCAGGGTGAGAATTCTACAATTAACTGCTGCTAGTTTCAAAAACCTGCTGATGTTTCTTAGGATCATTGCCTTGCCCACCTTGTGCATATAAATGTATGGCTTCGCCCTTGTCATTTTTCCCAGCTTTTCTCCTTGCAACAATCAGAATTTTTTTTTCCAGAACTGGGGATTGAACTCAGGCCCTTGTGCTTGTCAGAGAAGTGCTTATTCTACTGAGACCCCATCTCCCCAGCCCCTACAATCAGAATTTTAAAGTATAACTATATGCGCCTGAATGCATTGTTAAATATGTCTAATAAAGAAACCAGCTCTTCAGGATGTCAATCCCCCCTATTTTTGTGAGTTTAAGAAAAATATCTTTGAAAAAAAATCTTATCCCACTGATACTAAATTATGTGTTTTTTTCAAATATTATACTTCTGAAACCAGAATGTACCTTATAGTACTTTTTAAAACATCAGGACTCCACAAGGAGTATTTTTTTCTTTCTTAGTAGTACATAAAATAATTACATGTGATATAATTAAAGACATCTTAGAGTAAATGAGTTATGATCAGTGAACACAAACTAATTAACATGCAAGTAAAAATATTTTATTCTTAGGCTTAGTATATTGCATTATGCCAATAAATACCACAGGTAGTTATTTTCAGAAAGATGCTACTAGGATATAACATCAACAGACGAAAAATTTGATAGCATTTTTAAACACCAATAGTGAACTTTCTGAAAAAGGAATCAGGAAAATAATCTCATTCACAATAGTCACTATATATCCATATCTCTATCTGAGTGTTATCTAAATCTACCCAAGGATGTGAATGAAAAACTTTTATACTGAATATATAAAGAATTTAAAAGCATAACAAACTCCTAAGCAATCCAATAAAAAATAGACAAATCATCTCTTTTTTTTTTTTCTTTCCTATATTTAGGACAGGGTCTACAGGGTCTCACTACATAGATCGGACTTGTAGTGATTCTCCTGTTTTCAGTTTCCCAAGTGCTGGGATTACAGGCCTGTGCCACCACGCACAGTCTCAATCCCCAAGTCAGTGTACAAGGGGTTGGGCCAGCACGGCAGGCTGAGGATCGAACCCAGCTGCTGCATTCTGCCTAAGCAGGTGTTTTAGCCCATTGAGCTATCAGACTGGCCCAACAAATCATCTCAAAAGATAATGTTCAAAAGAAATAAAAATAGCCAATGTACATGTTTAAAATTGTTCAATATCTTTAGCGACCATTGAAAATACAAATCTCTACAATGAGATTCCTTCTCACTCCAATTAGAACATCAATTTGGAAGGAGGGAGGAAGGAAAGAAAGAAAGAAGGAAGAAAGGGAGGGAGGGAGGGAGGGAGGGAGGGAGGGAGGGAGGGAAGGAAGAAGAGAGACAAGTGCTATTGGTGGGAATGTAAGTTAGTGTAGCCATGATGGAAAACAGTATGATCTTCCTCAGAACACAGAAAGCAGAGCTGTAGATGCAGCCCTCCCACTTCCGGGTAAATGTCTGAAGGATTAATTAAGTCAGCATACAAAAGAGGTACCTGCACCCCCATGTTCATTGCAGCACTGTTGATAACAGCCAAGCTGCGGGCTCAGCCTAGGTGCTGGTCAGCAGATGAATACAGAAAAGAAACATGGTATTTCTATACACTGTGCAGTATGATGCAGCCAAAAAAAAAAAAAAAAAGAATGAATTCTGTCATCTGCAGAAAACTGGGTAGAACTAGAGATCATCAGGCTAAGCGAAACCAGCCAGGTACAGAAAGCCACATACCGCACGTTTTCTCTCCTACGCAAAAAGCAACAAAAAAGATGACCTGAACGTGGAAGCACTACTGGAGACTGGGGCAAAACTAGAGGAGGGAAGGGAAAAAGGGAGGGTGGGAATGGAGAGCAGAAGGGAGGCGGACTGGATGCGCCATGAGTGCCTGCATGGGAATGCCACAGTGGAGCCTATCGAGGTGTGCAGCTAAGAAGTGTTGACAGTTATCATGAAAGATTTTTAAAGTGGATGCCCCAAAATATCAAAGAACCAACAGAATTTATCCAATAAGATTTTTATTATGTGAAACTTGAATCCCATCTTGACCTACAGTTACCAGCTTTCTCCATCTTCATTATTATGTTATCTTTAAATTTTTCCTAGTGTCAAATGTTTCTTTACTCTTGCGCTCTGTCTGGAGTAGGCAGGCCTGCACCACATCGATGGGTGCAATGATCAAAAGTAAAAGAGAAAAAGCTTGCAGCAGTCAAGGCCCTGAACCTCTTTGCTCTCTTGGGGGAATGTAGCCCCTCAAAGGGCCTTAGCTGCAACCCCGAAGGGAGTTGGGACGCTGTGCTGAGACACTCCCACATAAAACTCTTCTTATCAGTCGATTTTGAAAAGCAAAATAGCAAACTAATCAACACAGCAGCCTAAGAATTTTTAAACAAAATATCAATTCTATTTCTAGGCACCAATATCAAACCACAGAAAAATGAAATTTCAATGGCAACAAGATACTTCGTACAAGTAAATCTGACCAAAATTGTTACCATATAGTTACATTTTAATTTTTTTAAGACATTACATTATGTCAAGACAGTTTCTATGGCCAGGGGGACCCTCACTCCACTGGGTGTTTGGACACCCCACCTTCCCAGAAATGGCTTTTGTGGCTCCATTAGTGTGAAACTCACTGATTAATTCAGTCACCTGGAAAGGACCCCTGCAGGCTCCAATGTGGCCACCAGCAAGGCGAGAAGAGGGAGGCAGCGCAGCCCTACTTGTGCTCACCACAGGGAGAGGAAGACTCTTTAGAGAAGGATAATTTCATATCTTAGATGAGCTTGCAAAATTTGATTATTATCAGAATAAGGATGGTTTGGCACCTGGGGTACAGCTCAGTGGCATAAGTGCCTGCCTGGCAAGCGCAAGGTCCTGAGTTTGATCCCTGGCACTGAAAAGAAGGAGAAGAAGGATAGGAAGAAGGAGAAAAAGAGAAAGAAGGAGAAGACAAAAAAAAGAAGTTTGACTTTAAAGGTATCAAGAGTGTTGCTTAGAGGACAGAAAATTGTAAATAAATGGTTTGTGAAAAGTAGTGAGTTCTCTTATATGCTAAGTCTTAGATAAGGTGCAGCAAACTATAATTTTAGCATACTAGGAAGTTGAATAGAATAAAATATAATTTATTTTTATTTTAGTGCTATGTATAGTTGTTTAGTTTCATAAATTAAGTACTGCTATGCATTTGTCTTCATATGTTTAAGTAGAAAAGAATAAATACAAAGCAATTGTAAATATGTCAATCTGTCCTAGAAAAATGAGTTGACCCAGGAACAGAAGGGACTAAGCAGGTAGAAAGAGGATTCAATAGAATCACAAGGGAATAAATCTAGCCAGGTGTGATGGCGTGTGCTTGTAATCTCAGTCTTCAGGGAGGCTGAGGTAAGATGCTGAGTTTGAGTCCATTTTGGGCAATGTGGTAACCTA